ATACAAAAATTAGCCAGGTATGGTGGCATGTGTCTGTAGTCCCAGCTACTCAGGAGGCTGAGGCAGGAGAATTGCTGGAACCTGGGAGGTGGAGGTTGCCGTGAGCCGGGATTGCGCCACTGCACTCCAGCCTAGGTGACAGAGCAAGACTCGGTCTTAAAAAAAAAAAAAAAAAAAAAAAAATTAAAATTAAAATTAAGAAGGAGAGAAGTTGCACTAGTTCTTCCTCAAAGTAGTGCAAACCTGTGTGGTCCCCTATCTCTTCCCACCTCCTTGACCGTAGTGCTCCCTAATACTACCTTAAAGTTGGAACTCTGACCAGTACCTGAAATACAGATTTTTTTTTTAAAGGGAATTTTATAACACAGAATGTTTTAACTTCTTGTCAGACATCCATTCTCAAATACCAATTCATAGCATGCTCCACCTAGCAAGAAGGTATGGGAGCTCTATTGACTTGTTTAATCCATTCCCAACACAGGCAATATGAAACAGAAGGATAGGTATGGTAAAAATTTTGAACTTCAATAGATAACTTATGCTGACTCATATACTCCTAAAATCAAACCAGAAACATTAAATGCTGAAATAAAACCAACCACAGGTAGTCGGATTCATAGATAGAAAAAAAAAATTACACAATTTCTACTAGAAGTGAATTTTTAAACTAGTAAAAGAGACAAAATGGGCTAAATTCTTAAATCCTATTCCACTTTACAAACTGACCCATAGCATCCTCCTTGGACTCTCCCTGTGTCCTTTTTACCCACAACACACATTCCCACATATGCACCCCTTAGAGGAACTGATTTCCTGGAAAGACTACTTAGCCAAGTCCTGAGGTAATCTGTCTGACCTGGTGATTCTCTCAGTTAAGGGATGGATACTCATTTGTCCCTCCTCCCTCCCTTACCACTTTACACATCTCCCTGCTTCATTCTGCTCCAGGAAAACAGTATTTATCATTCTAGCTCCAGGATGAGATCAGACATTTCCACTAGACTTCAAAAATACACATCCATCTATCCATCCATCCATTCATCCATTTATATATATAAATAAATGTCAATGACAAAAATTTTTTTTTCTACAGCAATTGCTAAAAGTCTGGAAAAAAGATCACCTGGAGACCCAAACTCTAGTACTTAGGAATGTGTGAAAAATATCACACCAAGTTTAAAAATAACTCTTTAATCATATGCACATAAGGGGAATAAAGGGCAACACCAGGCTGACTCGGGAGGGGAGCAAGATATTCTCCCTTTGTCCCAGTGTCTGCTTGGCACAGTTCTGAGATCACACAACAAGTGGGAGTGGGTTGGGAAATAGAATAAGTGAGAGGACTGAAGAGACAAAGGCAAGGGGGGGAGAGGCAAGGGCTTGCAGTAGTCTCAATCAGTGGACTCTAACACAGATTCACTCAGCGCAAGGTCCCAGTAGTGTTCAGCCCCATGCTTTTTGAAATGTCTCATCTCCAAGCCCGGTCTTCTGTACTAGGAGATATGTATAAAACACTTCAATCTTTTAAATCTTAATATTCTAAAGCTCCGGTCTTTGGCTGTAACCCCTAGGAAAGGGATATGATAAAAACCACTTCCAATTCTCTACTAAAATCAAAAAAACTAGCCGACCTGTAACATTTGTGAGACATGTGCCCAGCTGAACGTGATTTTATGGTTAAAAAAAAAAAACTGTGACCTCCATTTCCTTGGATATTTGTTATGAGTTTTTATGAATTCATATGTATAAGGTTTTTAGATTTTTGAAATGAGGATGAGGAATTCTTTGCTCTGGTGCCTGGGTGGAACAGCAAGTCAGGAAGAACTATGGAAGGTGGAATGAGATAAACTTATCTCCCACCAGGCCTTCAGGACTAAATTTGGGCCTTCAAAAAGGCCCAAAAAACTATTTATACAAGCAGAAGGCTTTGGGGCCCAGCAACAAAGAACAACTCCGGGTGGGGAACAGAAGAAGAGCAGGTACCAGCAGAGAATTACAACAGAAAAAGACAGTACTGGGTAGAACGGCATTCTTGCCAAAGGCACCAGCAGCAATGGCAGTCATAAAGCACTACCTCAAGAGGCTTTCAGGGAGTAGACTCCAATAAGGAGGCTGGAGCAGAACTTGGCTTATTTCTGAACATGAAAGACAATTCCTGAAAACTAAATTCCTACAACATTAATACTGGTTCTCTAAGAAGCCGCGACTTTTTCAGTAAGTACTCTTCAGAGATAAATAGAAGAAAATTGAAAAGAGATGAGGGGGCTGAGATATGTGAAGATATGGGCGCAGTAGCTCATGCCTATAATCCCAGCACTCTGGGAGGCTGAGATGGGAGGATCAGTCAAGGCTAAGAGTTCGAGACAAGCCTAGGCAACATAGTGAGACTGCATTTCTAAAAATTAGCCAGGCACAGTGGTGTGGACCTGAGGTCTCAGATACTTGAGAAGCTGAGACTGGAGAATTGCTTGTCCCTAGGAGTTCAAGGCTGCAGTGAGCTATGACTGCACCGCTGCACGCCAGCCTGGGCAACAGAGCAAGACCCTGTCTCTAAAAAAAAAAAAAAATTGGCCGGGCACGGTGGCTCAAGCCTGTAATCCCAGCACTTGGGAGGCCGAGGCGGGTGGATCACGAGGTCAGGAGATCGAGACCATCCTGGCTAACATGGTGAAACCCCGTCTCTACTAAAAATACAAAAAACTAGCCGGGCGTTGTGGCGGGTGCCTGTAGTCCCAGCTACTCGGAGGCTGAGGCGGGAGAATGGCATGAACCCGGGAGGCGGAGCTTGCAGTGAGCCGAGATCACGCCACTGCACTCCAGCCTGGGAGACACAGCGAGACTCCGTCTCAAAAAAAAAAAAAAATTGATTTAAAAAAAAGATAATATGCAGGTGGGAACTTATTAAACAGAGAAACAAATACTATGGTTATTATCATCTAATTTGTATGCATAAATTGAAGAATCTGGGATAAGGCAGAAGGATACATGAAAACCTTTTTTTTAATTTTTATTTTTTTATTGCTCCTTCAGAAGAAAAACTATTAATAGCAATTACCTATAAAGACTGGTCTGAAGAGATCAGAGGGAATAGGAAGAGACCTTTTGTTTTTGAGAAACAGTCTGGCACTGTCGCCCAGGCTGGAGTGCAATGGTGTGATCTCGGCTCACTGTAACCTCCGCCTCCCGGATTCAAGCGATTCTCCTGCCTCAGCCTCCCAAGTAGCTGCAATTACAGGCACCGGCCACCACGGCCAGCTAATTTTTGTATTTTTAGTAGAGACGGGGTTTCACCATGTTGGCCAGGTTGGTCTCAAATTCCTGACCTCGTGATCCGCCCGCCTTGGCCTCCCAAAGTGCTGGATTACAGGCGTGAACCACCATGCCCGGCCTGAGACTTTTTCTTTTTTTGTTAAGACAGGGTCTCACTCTGGTGCCCAGGCTGGAGTCCAGTGGCACAATCACAGCTCACTGCAGCTTCAAACTCCCAAGCTGAAGCAATCCTCTTTTTTTTTTTTTTTTTTTTTTTTTTTTTTTTTTTTTTTTTTTTTTTAGCTCTCCCACCTCAGCTTCTCAAGTAGCTGGGACTACAGCGCACCCCGGCATGGAGACCACCCCCCCCCCCCCCCCCCCCCCCCACCCCGGCCCTGGCTAATTTTTGTATTTTTTGTAGAGACAAGGTTTCCCCATGTTGCCCAGGCTGGTCTTGAACTCCTGAGCTCAAGTGATCCAACCACTTCATCCTCTCAAAGTGCTGGGATTATAGGCGTAAGCCACTGTGCTGGGTCTCAGTAAGTACTCTTCTGTATAATTAGAATTTTTTTTTTTTTTTTTGAGACGGAGTCTGGCTCTGTCACCCAGGCTGGAGTGCAGTTGGCCGCATCTCAGCTCACTGCAAGCTCCGCCTCCCGGGTTTATGCCATTCTCCTGCCTTAGCCTCCTGAGTAGTTGGGACTACAGGTGTCCGCCACCTCGCCCGGCTAGTTTTTTGTATTTTTTTTTTTTTTTAGTAGAGACGGGGGTTTCACCGTGTCAGCCAGGATGGTCTCGATCTCCTGACCTCGTGATCTGCCCGTCTCGGCCTCCCAAAGTGCTAGGATTACAGGCTTGAGCCACCACGCCAGGCCTAGAATTTTTTTTTTCATCTTAATAAACATTTACTACTTTTGTAATAACATACTGCTTTTATAATAAAGAATTCATTAACAGAAACAAGCACATTTTAGTGCTTGCTTCAGCAGCACATATACTAGAAATAAGTACATTTTAAAAATAGAAGATATATAGCCAGGCGTGGTGACTCATGCCTGTAATCCCAGCACTTTGGGAGGCCAAGGTGGTCGGATCACCTGAGGTCAGGAGTTCAAGACCAGCTTGACCAACATGATGAAACCCCATCTCTACTAAAAATACAAAATTAGCCAGGCATGGTGGCTCATGCCTGTAATCCCAGCTACTCGGGAGGTTGAGGCAGGAGAATCGCTTGAACCCAAGAGGCAGTGGTTGCGGTGAGCTGAGATTGCACCATTGCACTTCAGTCTGGGCAACAAGGGCAAAACTCTGTCTCAAAAAAAAAAAAAAAAAAAATGCGGGTGCTGGGCACAGTGGCTCATGCCTGTAATCCCAGCACTCTGGGAGGCCAAGGCAGGTGTATCACCTGAGGTCGGGAGTTTGAGACCAGCCTGAGCAACATGAAGAAACCCCGTCTCTACTAAAAATACAAAACTTAGTTGGGCATGGCGGCATATGCCTGTAATCCGAGCTACTTGGGAGGCTGAGGCAGAAGAATTGCTTGAACCCGGGAGGTATAGGTTGCAGTAAGCCGAGATCACACCATTGCACTCCACCCTGGGCGACAGAGCAACAAGAGCAAAACTCCGTACCCTCCACCCACCCCCAAAAAAGATATACATGTACTATACCTAAAAACAAACATGAAAACATTAATACTGGTTTTAATACTGGTTCTCTAAGAAGCCTTCAAGGATTAAAGAACTAGATAACCATAAAAAATATTCCACTTGAAGAGTGATTTAGTCACATTTTATGAAGTACTATCACACAATTATCTAATTTCATTCTCAAAAAATTGACAATATAGATAGCAAACAGTATCCACATTTTATAGCTAAGGCAACAGAATTTGACATTAAGTGTCTTGCCCAGATTACACAGCTAATAAGCAGCACTGCCCAGCCTCCTAACTATATTCTTAAGTATCATACTTCCTTCACTATATCCAAAGGTAAATCCCACAGCAATTCATTCCCCTCTTTCCAAGTCTCATATTCATGACTGTGAAATAAACAATTTTTGGTAGAGAATTTGTGTTCCTGCTACCAGCAGCACTGTCCACACACTTCCCCAGATAGCATATACTAAATACTCATCAATTTAACTAAACAGATGATCAGGAAGAATTTATTGCCAACCATTTAAAAATGGATTCCAAAAAGAAACATAAATTATTTAAGGGATTATTCACTGATTAGATCTTACATTCCATTGCTCTACTTAAATAGTATAAATAATGAGGAGTTGGCTAAAGTTTTACAATGTTTTACAAAGGATCACCTACCTCCCAGACTAGTACACATTTGTTGGTTTTCTTCACAGCTTCCTCATCAGATTCCTCATCATCTGGAAGAGAAATCTTGTTATAGACTTAGACTTGAGATTCAGGTTCTAAAGAAACAATATTCAAGTCTAACCAAACTCTTAAATATTGTCACCCTTTTTATGTGTTGGACCAAATGTTTTATTTTCTGTTGCTCTTTATTTTCCCCAAATTAGACTTGAAGCTCCAAGTAAAAAGGAATATTAATTAATACAATTAGCATTTACTTAGCACTTGTTATGAATCAAGAGCTGTAACAGGTACTGGGAATAAGGAAATAAAAGACAAGCAGTCAAGAATAAAAACTTGTCCTAGGTACTCTGGGAAGCAGGCTTCAGATGTCAACATCATTTATTACTCTCAAAAAACTTTCGCCCAATGGAGGAAGGCAGATATACCAAATCAAAATTATCGGCCAGTGTGATGGCTCACGCCTGTAATCCTAGCACTTTGGGAGGCTGAGGTGAGTGGATCACTTGAAGTCAAGAGTTTCAGACCAGCCTAGCCAACATGGTGAAACCTCATCTCTACTAAAAACACAAAAATTAGCCAGGCGTGGTGGCGGGTGCCTGTAATCCCAGCTTCTCAGGAGGCCGAGGCAGGAGAATCACTTGAACCTGGGAGGTGGAGGTTGCTGTGAGCCAAGATGGTGCCACTGCACTCCAGCCTGGGCAACAGAGCAAAAACTCCATCTCAAAAAAAAAAAAAAATGCATGTGTAAAACAAAATAAAATATACACCAATTATATTACAAAAATGTACTTTAAATACTTCAAGGACAAAAAGTCAGGAAGGCTAGTTAGGTAAAGTTAAGAAAAGGCTCTCTGTAGATTTTATTTTTTATTCTTGGGTCTCTTAAGATGAACTCTCTGCAGATTTTATTCATATTTTTATTTTTTTGAGACAGAGTCTCACTCTCTCACTCAGGCTGGAGTGCAGTGGTACAATCTTGGCTCACTGCAACCTCTGCTTCCCCCGTTCCAAATGCTTCTCCTGCCTAGGCCTCCCGAGTAGCTGGGGTTACAGGCACACACTGCCATGTCCAGCTCATTTTTGTATTTTTTAGTAGAGATGAGATTTCACCATGTCAGGCTGGTCTCAAACTCCTGATCTCAGGTGATCCACCCACCTCAGCCTCCCAAAGTGCTGGGATTACAGGCATGAGCCACCACGCCCAGCCTCTCTGCAGATTTTAAATGCTAATCCAGGTCTTCAAAGATGAGAATGAACACTAATGGAAGTATGATGGCCAGAAGCATGTCAGATACAGACAGTCCTTGACTTAGAATTTTTTGCCTTGAGTACAGTGTGAAAGTGATAAATATTTAGTAGAAAATGTACTTCAAATTTTAAATTTTGAGATTTTCCTGGGCTAGCAATATGCAGTAAAATACTCTTACGTGAGATAAAAAATAGGCTTTGTGTAAGATGATTTTGCCCAGCTGTAGGCTAATCTAAGTATTCTGAGAAAGTTTAAGGAAGGCTAGGCTAAGTTATGATGTCCTAAAGATCAGATGTATTAAATGCATTTTTTTTTTTTTTTTTTTTTGAGATGGAGTCTCGCTCTGTCACCCAAGCTGGAGTGCAGTGGTGCAATCAAAGCTTACTGCAACCTCCGCCTCCCAGGTTCAAGCGATTCTCCTGCCTCAGCCTCCCGAGTAGCTGGGATTACAGAGGCCCACCACCATGCCCCGAATTTTTGTGTTTTTAGTAGAGATGGGGTTTCACCATGTTGGCCAGGCTGGTTACGAACTCCAGACCTCAAATGATCTGCTTTCCTGGGCCTCCGAAAGTGCTGGGATTATATGTGTGAGCCACTGCGCCTGGCCTTAAATGCATCTTTGACTTAACGATATTTTCAACTTATCTTAGGTTTATTGGAACTAACCCCATTATAAGTTGAGGAGCATATGTGTGAGCATGTACATGTATACATATATGTGTATGTATATATATATATAAAAAAAACAGGCAAAAGAAAAAGTAGTTTGATCAAAGCAGAGCTTTTTTGACCTGAAAATCTTTTTGCCTTCAATCCTTAAAAAAAAAAAAAATCAAATAATAATATAATATAGACACTGTACACATGAATGTATAGCTTACTGGATTTGCTTTTTCTTTTTGAGACAGGGTCTCATTCTGTCACCCAGGCTGGATTGCAGTGGCACAATCACAGCTTACTGCAGCCTTGACCTCCCCAAGCTCAAGTGATCCTCCCACCTCAGCTTCCTGAGTAGCTGGGAATACAGGTGTGTGCCACCACACCCAGCAAATTTTTGTACTTTTTGTAGAGATGGGGTTTCACCACGTTGTTTGCCCAGGCTGGTCTCGAACTCCTGGCCTCAGGCAATCTGCCCGCCTCAGTCTCCCACAGTGCTAGGATTACAGGCAGGAGCCACCATGCCTAGCTGCTTGCTGAATTTTCAAATACTGAATAAATTCATATAACCAGTACTCAGATCCAGGACAGACACAGAAACCAGTGGGTAGAAAAGCCTTAAATGATAGGCAAAAAAAAAAAAAAAGCTTTACCATTCATGCATATAATTATATAGTAAATATTATATGAATGTCTAGGAGGCTCAAAGTCTAAATGGGTCTTTCTAAAATTCCTGAACACTATCTAGTGTTAGCAAGAGTGTCACAGGGAGGGAATAAAATGAATGGACAGATGCACCATCCCCACCTCCCACAGCTCTCCCACTTAATCCCCTCTAACCCCCATTCACCATCTCCCTTCGTGTTAGATGTCTGTTCATCCCACTTTATCCGATGCAGCATAAGACGCTTAAATTTCTTCTGGGCCTTGGGGCCTGGAAACAGAGAAGAAGAATTTTGCCAGAACTGTGGAAGATGATGGGTTAGAAAGAACCTCTGAGCTCAGACATTAATGTAGTAGTTGAAGCAATCCCAGGACCACATCTTAGGGCCTTCTATTCCAATAAACACAGAAGCAATGACCTAGCATATTATATCAGGTATGACACTAAAATACTATCTTTTTCTACTTTCTCCCCACAATGCTAATCACTCTAAGCCCAGGGTTGTCTGAGGACAGTCTCCCTCAAGTTTTTCAGACTCACCCCCTTCCACTACTACCACGTTGACATCCTTGTGCAGTACCACCACCCCTGTCAGGTACAGTTGCCCAGCATTGGCTTCAATCTTGAACTTCTTGGCTGGGTTGCTCAAATTTCGAACTCTGGAGAAGGGAAAGTTTAGTTATGTCTTCCATTTTAGCATCAGCAGCTGCCTGAATGGAGTGGCAAGTAGAGATGAATCCCAAATGGTTTCCTCTCTATAAACAAAGGCCTCTGGAGTAAACAAATAGATGAATGCTTAAAAGGTAGAGTTGATGAGTCTAGAAATATTTCCACACTCTCATATTTTTTCAAAGTCTAGCACTTTACATTACACAATAGCAGGTAACCAAAGTTTACTCTAAGAATCAGGGAGAGGTATTTACTATTATCCAAAAATGCTTATAATCTCATTGTTCTTGACAATGTAAAGACCTACAGACTTTTTGTCCTCTAGACCCTTAGACCCTCATAATATAGGATTACTCGGCTTGGCGCAGTGGCTCACACCTGTAATCCCAGCACTTTGGGAGGCCAAAGTGGGCAGATCACGAGGTCGGGAGTTCGAGACCAGCCTGGCCAACATGGTGAAACCCCATCTCTACTAGAAACACAAAAATTAGCCAGGCGTGGGGGTGCATGCCTGTAATCCTAGCTACTCAGGAGGCTGAGGCAGGAGAATCGCTTGAACCTGGGAGGCAGAGGCTGCAGTGTGCCGAGATTGTGCCACTGCACTCCAGCCTGGGCAACAAGACTGAAACTCCGTCTCAAATAAATAAATAAATAAATAAACAAATGAAATCTATATAGGATCACTATATAGGCATGAAAATTTTCTAGGAGGAGATGTGAAAAACTGTTAATAGCAATTACCTAAAGAGAGTGGTTCTAAGGGATCACAGAATAGAAAGGAGACATTCTGAGTAAGTGTTCTTCTGTATTGTCAGACAATTTTTTAAATCTTAATAAACATTCACTACTTTTGTAATAATGTACTTTTATAATAAAGAACTAGTTAATAGAAACAAGCACATTTTAAAAATAGAATATAAACATGTACTCAACATAAAAAAATAAAAACATTAAATCAACACAAAGGTAGAAAAATATTTACAACATATAAAACGCATTTTGGAGTGAGGATGAAACACAGCAATACATCAGGGTAAGGATATGACTACCGAGGAAAGAAAATTTGTAATGCTTCCATGGATGTTGGAAGCAAACTCAGACCATTTAAAAAAAAAGATGAAAAAAAAAAAGAAATAGGATGATATTTTATAGTCCTCAAAGGACATACAATCTTTAGTTCATATCTTGGCCTGAACAAGTATATTGATTTGTTCATTTTTTCAGAACTAATAGTCTGGTAAAAAAAGAAGACTTCAGAGGGAAGACTTGGATAACCATAAACATAAGTCATTAACCCTCGCTATTTTACAAGATTTACTAGCTCTTGATCCACACTAGGGTCATTAAAAGAGAGTAGGAACTGGTGTCAGGTATGCTTTTAGGCCACAATGATTCTGCCTCAAGCACTTGGAAAATGTTTTAGTAATTCTAAGGGGAAGGTCGGCCCAGTATGGACACCTACCTATATACAGATATGTGTACCCCCTGTGAAATGTCTTCTTTAAGCTTTTTAATTTTCTTGACCTTTCTCTGTTCTGCTGTGAGTTTTCGGGCAGCGTTGGCCTCTTCATGCGCTCTGTCGTGACAGGAAGGACATCCACAAGTGAGAAAGGCATTGAAGATCAGAGGCAGGGCTGAGGGAAAGAGAGAGCAACGGAGAACTCTCCCCTCCCTCCAAATATGGATCCCCCAGAAGAGTTTGGGAAGGGTCCTTGCCCGGGGTTTCCACCCAATCCCATGGCACTTACTTCTGTCTTTTTGCCATCTGAGCTCTGACATGGGCTTCTACCTTCGTGGGGTCTTGAACAGCTTCTGTTCCTAATACTCGCATCAGATTAGAAATTCTCACTGCAGTGAAGAGAGGACAGCAGTCAATCTTTGAAGTCACTTCTCCAGCTGGAGTAACTTGCTATCTCTTCTACACCAATTCATATTATTTACCTATTTCAAATCTCTGCTTCTAAACTCACTTTCTCCAATAACTACTACCTTGAAAATCTAACCCAATCACTTCAGCATTTGCAGAAGTTCACACAATTAAGTTGAAGATTGGTACTTATCACAGCATCTAGTGAAAGAGTTTATAAATAACAGTCCTCAGTCAAAATATTGCTGAACGAGAATGTAACTACAGGGGCAATTTCTTTATCCTGCACTTTCATTGTAAAAATTAAAACATTAAGAATTATGTACATAAAAAGTCTACCCAAATACTGCAACTACTATCTCCATGAATTTCAAGACCTGTATTCTTCCAGGAAAACCAGAGTGTTGTATGATCAGTATGCTTAAAAATAAGCCTTAAATGGCCTCTATAATGAATGTGTTGACCTATCTTAATATGAAAAGATGGTAGAACACTTGGAGAAAAAAGACCCCAAGAATGATTCTTAGAAACAGAAATCACTCAGACATAGAGAGATGTTAAAGTTCCTCCAGAATTAAAGACATAAACTTGCCACTCTTTTTAACAGCAGAGGCCACTAAGAGATGTACCTTTGGGTTCTGGAGGAGGCATCAGGCCCAGCCTGACTTTTTCTTGTAGTTCCTTCTGTGCTTCCCTCCTTGTTTGTCTCCGAAGTTTTTTCTGTTCCTTCTTGGTAAGATATACTCCCAGAGTAACTGGTGTGTCATTGTCAACTGTCAGGGCAGAGATTAGTATACCAAAGCAATAAGAAAATTATATATATATATATATATATATATATATATATTTTCCCCCCCACTCTGTCACCCAGGCTGGAGTGCAATGGCCCGATCTCAGCTCACTGCAGCCTCAAGTAATTCTCCTGCCTCAGCCTCCCGAGTAGCTAGGATTACAGGCACATGTCACCATGCCTGGCTAATGTTTGTATTTTTAGTAGAGACGGGGTTTCACCATGTTGGCCAGGCATGAGCCACCATGCCTGGACAGCAATAAGAATATTAAAGAGACCTAGGTAAATATCAGTATCATTAAAAGAAACTTTAGGCTGGACGCAGTGGCTTATGCCTAAAGCACTTTGGTAGGCCAAGGTGGGAGGATTGCTTGAGCCCAAGAGTTCCAGACCAGCCTGGACAACCAAGTGAGACTCAACTCTATTATAAACATTTTATGTAAAAAATATATTGAGGCCAGGTGCAGTGGCTCATGCCTGTAATACCAGCACTTTGGGAGGCAGGGACAGGCAGATCACAAGGTCAAGAGATCGAGACCAGCCTGGCCAACATGGTGAAACCCCGACTCCACTAAAAGTACAAATATTAGCTGGGCATGGTGGCACACGCCTGTAGTCCCAGCTACTCGGGAGGCTGAGGCAGCAGAATCACTTGAATCCAGGAGGCGGAGGTTGCAGTGAGCTGAGATTGTGCCACTGCACTCTAGCCTGGCGATAGAGTGAGACTCCATCTAAAAAAAAAAATATGTGTGTGTGTCTGTGTGTGTGTGTATATATATATATAAACTTTAAATAGAAAACGGAGAAAACTTGTTAAGGGATCAGTAAGATTAAAATCAGTTCAGGCCTGGTGCCCAGCAGTATATTTTTAAAAAACATTCTTATCTTTTTTTTTTTTTTTTTTTTTTTGAGACGGAGTCTCGCTCTGTTTTTTTTTTTTTTTTTTCTTTGAGACAGAGTCTCGCTCTGTCGCCCAGGCTGGAGTGCAGTGGCCGGATCTCAGCTCACTGCAAGCTCCGCCTCCCGGGTTCGGGCCATTCTCCTGTCTCAGCCTCCTGAGTAGCTGGGACTACAGGCGCCTGCCACCTCGCCCGGCTAGTTTTTTGTATTTTTTTAGTAGAGACGGGGTTTCACCGTGTTAGCCAGGATGGTCTGGATCTCCTGACCTCGTGATCCGCCCGTCTCGGCCTCCCAAAGTGCTGGGATTACAGGCTTGAGCCACCGCGCCCGGCCTGGAGTCTCGCTCTGTTGCCCAGACTGGGGTACAGCGGCACAATCTCGGATCACTGCACGCTCTGCCTCCCAGGTTCACACCATTCTCCTGCCTCAGCCTCCCGAGTAGCTGGGACTACAGGCACCCACCACCAGGCCTGGTTAATTTTTGTATTTTTAGTAGAGACCGGGTTTCACCTTGTTAGCCAGAGGTCTCAATTTCCTGACCTCATGATCCGCCTGCCTTGGCCTCCCAAAGTGCTGGGATTACAGGCGTGAGCCACCGCGCCCGTTCATTTCTCGCTCTGTCACCCAGGCTTGAGTGCAGTGGCATGATCTCGGCTCACTGAAACCTCTGCCTCCCGGATTCAGACGATTCTCCTGCCTCAGCCTCCCGAGCAGCTGAGACTTCAGGCACGCACCACCCCCTCCCCAATAATTTTTATATTTTTAGTAGAGACAGGGTTTCACCATACTGGCCAGGCTGGTCTCGAACTCCTGACCTCATAATCCACCTGCCTCAGCCTCCCAAAGTGCTGGGATTACAGGCGTGAGCCACTGCACCCAGCCTCTTTCTTAAGTAGTGTTCTTAGTTGTTTTCCTTTAAGCTGTTAAACTCCCTCATTCAATGATCCCTGGCAAATGCAGAAAACAAAATTAGGGCCAGGTGCGGTGGCTCACACCTGTAAACCCAGCACTTTAGGAGGCTGAGGTAGGAGGATCACTTGAGGTCAGGAGTTCAAGACCAGCATGATCAACATGACAAAACCCTGTCTCTACTAAAAGTACAAAAACTAGCCAGGTGTGGTGGTGGGGACCTATAATCCCAGCTACTTGGGAGGCTGAGGCAGGAGAATCGCTTAAACCTGGCCGGGGAGTGAAAGTTGTAGTGAATGAGTGAATGGAGATCGCGCTATTGCACTCCAGCCTAGGTGACAAAAGTGAAACTCCATCTCAAAAAAAAAAAAAGCGACTTTGTTTCCCAGTTTCAACTTTGGGAAACTAACAAAAAGTCCTTTGGAGTTAGCATCCCTCACAGTGGGTAGTGGAGCATATCGCATCTAATAACACACCAAACCAAGAGTTTAGCTCTTGCATTTGCATTTAGCTATGGATGCCATGACAACATGTGGTTCTATAAAAGGAGCAAGCTGAGGGCTGCTTCCTAGGAACAACCAGGGAACTGTAAATGTAAAGCTTCATGAAATTTTTGGGGTTCTTTTTTTTTTAAGAGACAAGGTCTGGCAGTATCACCCAGGCTGGAGTGCAGCAGCGCCATCTCAGCTCACTGCAACTTCTACCTCCCAGGCTCAAGCCATCCTCCACACCTCAGCCTCCCAAGAGGCTGGGACTATAGATGCACGCCACCATGTCCGGCTGATTTTATTTTTTGTAGAGATGGGGTTTTGCTATGCTGCCCAGATCTGGAACTCCTGAGCTCAAGTAATCTGCCTACTTCAGCCTCCCAAAGTGCAGTGATTATAGGCATGAGCCACCATATCCAGCCAAATTATTTTTCCTTGAGATGGGTCTCACTGTGTTGCCCAGACTGGTCTTGAATTCTTGGCCTCAAGCGATCCTCCTGCCGTGGCCTCCCAAAGTGTTTGGATTAGAGGCATGAGCCACCATGCTTGGCTGTCTCATGAAATTCTAAGCACAGGAATATGCACTTAAAATGTATGTTCACTGGTCAAACTACAAACTATTGTTAGGAAAAAAACTGAACTAAAAAAAAAGAATTACACATGGATAGTGGCTACTGTACTGAACAGCACAGATACAGAACATGTTCATCGCTGTGTAAATTTCCAGTGGATAATGCTGCTCTAGAGACTTGATTCAGGAATCTATACATTACCTGGAGGATTGAGCTGGGCTGGATGTTCAACAAGATTTGTGATTCCAAAATAATCTTCTCTCTTGGGATTTTCCTCTGTACTAAAATTGTAGGAAGGAAAGAAAACGCGATATGTGGGTAGAGATGATTCTAAGAGAGGAGTCTCAGAAATACAATGAAAAAATCCATTCTCCATAATGGGTTCTTGCGCTTGATATACCTAAAATAGCATTTACGTACCTAAAATATATAATTAAATTACATATAATTTTTATGATGAGAGAACTGAGTCCCTCTATGGTTGAACACACTCTCCACAGCAGTCATTCCCAACCTTTTTTCTACCATGCCACAGCTGATAGATGCTATGTTCTCTCATTAGTGACAATAAGTCCCTGGAACAGTGGCTGACAAAGAATGGGCAAGGAAAGGCTAAGATAAAATCTACTAAAGCCATGTATCAGAATGATGGAACAGGGCCAGGCGCAGTGGCTTATGCCTATAATCCCAGCACTTTGGGACACCCAGGCAGGTGGATCACCTAAGGTCAGGAGTCTGAGACCAGCTTGCCAAACAGTGAAACCCTTCTCTACTAAAAATATAAAAACTGGCCAGGTGTGGTGGTATTTGCCTGTAGTACTGGATACTCAGGAGGCTGAGCTAGGAGAATCGCTTCAACCCAGGAGACAGAGGTTGCAGTGAGCCGAGATCATGTCACTGCACTCCCAGCTCAGACAACAGAGTGAGACTCTGTCTTTAAAAAACAAAAAACAAAACAAAACAAAAAACAGTGGGCGTAGTGACTCATGCCTGTAATCCCAGCACTTTTGGGAGGCTGAGGCAGGTGGATCACCTGAGGTCGGGAGTTCAAGACCAGTCTGACCAACATGGAGAAACCCGTCTCCACTAAAAACACAAAAAATTAGCCAGGCGTGGTGGCGCATGCCTGTAATCTCAGCTACTTGGGAGGCTGAGGCAGGAGAATCACTTGAACCTGTCAGGCGGAGGTTGCAATGAGCCCAGATCGTGCCATTGCACTCCAGCCTGGGCAACAAGAGCGAAACTCTGTCTCAGACAGAAGAAAAAAAAAAAAAGAATGATGGAGCAGATATATTTAAAGCTCCTCAAATGTGTCTTATATCCTTTTTTTTTTTTTTTTTTTTTTTTTTTTTTTTTGAGACAGAGTTTCACTCTGTTGTCCAGGCTAGAGTGCAGGGGTCATGGTCATAGCTCACTGCAGCACAGACACTCCTGGGCTTGAGTGATTCTCTCACATCAGCCTCCTGGGTAGCCAACCCACCATGCCCAGCTACTTTTTTTTTCTTTTTTAATTTTTATAGAAATGAGGTCTCACCATATTGCCCAAGCTGGTCTTTAACTCCTGGGCTCAAGCAATCCTTCAGCCCTCAGCCTCCAAAAGTGCTGGAAATAACAGGTGTCAGCCACCAAGCCCAGCCTTATAAGATATATTTACAATTATCTCACCTACCAACTAATAATCCTTGCTCTATCACAATGAGATCTTTAGGAAATGTAAACACCTATAATATGTAGCAAAAGAATGTAATTAAGGAAAATAATGCTAAAAACAGGCAACAATGTGTAACACAGCAAAATTAATTACAGACTTTGCTTTTGTAGATTATTTGTGTCCCTAGTTATCCTCCATTAACCCCAAAAGCTAAAAACAACCTATATGATACATCACAAATGCAGGAGCTTGGCCTGGTGCAGTGGCTCATGCCTGTAATCCCAACACTTTGGGAGGCTAAGGCGGGCAGATCACCTGAGGTCAGGAGTTCGAGACCCGCCTGGCCAACATGGCAAAACCCTCTCTCTACCAAAAATACAAAAAGCAGACAGGCGTGGTGGTGCACACCTGTAGTCCCAGCTACTCGGGAGGCTGAGGTTCAAGGAGAATTCAAGGAGAATCTCTTGAACCTGGGAGGTGGAGGTTGCAGTGAGCTGAGATCGTGCCACTGCACTCTAGCCTAGGTGACAGAGTGAGACTCCCTCTCAAAACAAAACAAAACAAAACAAAACAAAAAACACAGGAGCTTGTGTACAGTTACTTATCTTTCTTGGATTTTAAAATTTTAATTAATGAATGAGTACCATCCTTCCCACTAGCTTTACTAAAAGGTATTAACTTGAATCTTAAACTCGGCTGATTAAAAACTGTTTTTTTAAAAAGGTACTAAAACAAACTCACAGATCAAAGCCATTGGGAATTATGTAAGAGTCCCACCACTCAATTTCAGGAATATCTCCTTCCTTTAGCTCCTTCTTTGGAGCTATGAGGGCAAGCCTAGTCGAAGTATGGATGCCTGTTTTTCGAGCTGCTTGTGAAATCTCTGCCTGTAGCTTCTCCAGTTGAGCCTAAAAACAAGATAATCCAAGACAGAAAGATAAATTGGAATCATAGAAAACAGAATTTGTAGAATCTCAATTTTTTTTTTTTCTTTGAGATGGAGTTTCGTTCTGTTGCCCAGGCTGGAGTACAATGGCATGGTCTTGGCTAACAGCAACCTCTGCCTCCCAGGTTCAAGCCATTCTCCTGCCTAAGCCTCTGGAGTAGCTGGGATTACAGGCATGCGCCCCCAACTCCAGCTAATTTTGTATTTTTAGTAGAGATGGGGTTTCTCCATGTTGGTCAGCCTGGTCTCAAACTCCCGACCTCAGGTGATCTGCCTGCCTCGGCCTCCCAAAGTGCTGGGATTACAGGCATGAGCCACTGTGCGGGGCCAGATTCCCAATTTTTTTTTTTTTTTTTGAGACGGAGTCTCGCTCTGTCACACAGGCTGGAGTGCAGTGGCGCCATCTTGGCTCACTGTAAGCTCCACCTCCCAGGTTCACGCCATTCTCCTGCCTCAGCCTCCCGAGTAGCTGGGACTACAGGCATCTGCCATCACGCCTGGCTAATTATTTTGTATTTTTAGTAGAGTAGGAGTTTCACCGTGTTAGCCAGGATGGTCTCAATTTCCTGACCTCGTGATCCGCCCACCTCGGCCTCCCAAAGTGCTGGGATTATAGGCATGAGTCATGACGCCTGGCCAATAATCCCAAATTTTAAAACATTTCCCCTTTGAACTCTTTACACCTAATGCAACAAATTCATTCTGAAAGTTTAGAAAGGAGTTGTTCTGCTTTATTTTATCCTTTATTTAGTTCATTTACATAGATCCTCACCTTCACCCTCTCCCTTCACTCCACAGTATATGCCTGCAGTAAATACACAGAAATAGAATTTTATGAAAACCTCACTGAGAGGATAAAAAGAAGGCAAAGGTCATTCAATATACAATCAATTCAACTCTCCAGGTGTACTTTCTGCAGGAAATTTTAACTCCAGGCAAGTCTTCCTCAGTCAGTCAGAGTGTTTCAAATTGTTTCCCTCCACTTAGTTGTATGTGGAGAATTTTCAAACTCAATTGAGTATTTCCACTTATGTAGAAACTAATTAGGAAGTAAAATCTGTTTAAAACTTTTTTTTTGAGACGGAGTTTCGCTCTTTCGCTCAGGCAGGAGTGTAGTAGCGCGATCTCGGCTCACTGCAACCTCCACCTTCCAATTGCAAGTGATTCTCCTGCCTCAGCCTCCTAAGTAGTTAGGATTACAGGTGCCTGCCACCACGCTCGGCTAATTTTTGTATTTTTAGTAGAGATGGGGTTTCACCATGTTGGGCAGGCTGGTCTCGAACACCTGACCTTGTGATACACCCACCTCGGCCTCCCAAAGCGCTGGGATTATAGGCTTGAGCCACCTCGTCCTGCATATTTTCAAATTATTCATTGCTTTAAATCAGGGGTCCCCAACCCACCAGTCTGTGGCCTTTTAGGAACTGGGCTGTACAGCAGGAGGTGAGCAGGAGGCAAACCAACAAAGTTTCATCTGTACTTACAATTGCTCCCTATTACCTGCATTATGGTCTGAGCTCCACCTCCTGTCAGATCCGCGGTGGCATTAGATTCTCATAGGAGAGTGAACCCTATTGTGAACTGCACATGCCAGGGGGCTGTGTTGCACATTCCTTATGAGAATCTAATGCCTGATGATCTGTCACTGTCTCCTATCACACCCAGATGGGACCGTCTCGGCAGGAAAACAAACTCAAGGCTCCCAATGATTTTAGACTATGGTGAGTTATATAATTATTTCATCATATATTAAAATAGAATAATAATAGAAGTCAGCACAGTGGCTCACGCCTGTAATCCCAGCACTTTGGGAGGTCAAGGCAGGCAGACTACAAGGTCAGGAGTTTAAGACCAGCCGGGCCAACACAGTGAAACCCTGTCTCTACTAAAAATACAAAAAATTAGTCAGGCATGGTGGCGCACGCCTGTAGTCCCAGCTACTCAGGAGGCTGAAGCAGGAGAATGGCTTGAACCCAGGAAGTGGAGGCTGCAGTGAGCTGAGATTGCACCACTGCACTCCAGCCCAGGTAACAGTGCAAGACTCTGTCCCCGCTCCCCTGCCAAAAAAAGGCGGGTGTGGTGGCTCACGCCTGTAATCCCAGCACTTTGGGAGGACAAGGTGGGCAGATCACCTGACGTCAGGAGTTCAAGACCAGCCTGACTAAGATGGAGAAATCCCATCTCTACCAAAAATACACAATTAGTCAGGCGTGGTTGTGCATGCCTGTAATTCCAGCTACTCGAGGAGAATCACTTGAACCTGAGAGGCAGAGGTTGCAGTAAGCCGAGATCATGCCATTGCACTCCAGCCTGGGCAACAAGAGCAAAACTCCATCTCAAAAATAATAATAATGATAAAGTACACAATAAAGGTAATGTTCTTAAACCATCACAAAACCATCCTTACTCCAGGGGAAAAATTGTCTTCCATGAAATGAGTCCTTGATGCCAAAAAGGTTGAGGACTGCTGCTTTAAATGACCTATTTATCTAATTTCCTAGAACATAGAGATTTTACAATGTTTTCCTTTCAGCTTCTTAACTTTTTCTAAATTCTGTGTTATACTATAAGCCAGATACCTTTGTCCGTAATCGCTGAGCAATCTTCTCAAATTTGCCCTTGTCGTGGAATTTAAAAGTGCGTCTCTGGCGCTGGGAAGGGGCAATGGAGACTCGGGGGTCAAAAAAGGTATTGGATTCCATGTCTTCTGATGGCTTTTCTTTTAGTTGCTGCTTGAATTGTTCCCTCTTCACAGCACGAATATTGGCTTTCAGAGTAGGCATGCGGTGTGTCAGCTCAATCTCCTTGCCTGTTGCATCTACAGTGCGCCCTTGCTCATCCAGGATCAGTGGTGTAGGTTTCGTTTGGTCTTTTAACTCCACCTTCCTGAAAAATAGCCCGCAAAGAAATAAATCCTGTATGGAACATTAAGGCAAACAAAAAAAAAAACAAAATAAAGCCAGGTGTGGTGGCTCAAGACTAGAACCACAGCATTTTGGGAGGCCAAGGCAGAGGGATCACTTGAGCCCAGGAGTTAGAGACCAATCTGGGCAACACAAGGCGATCCCATCTCAACAAAAAATTTAAAATTAGCTGGGTGTGGTGGCATATACTTTTGGTCCCAGCTACTCAGGAGGTTGAGAAGGGTCACTTGAGCCCAGAAGTTGAGGGTGCAGTGCCTTCTCCATAAGAGTTATTGGATGGACGGGCGTGGTGGCTCACACTGTAATCCCAGCACTTTGGGAGGCTGAGGCAGGTGGATCGCTTGAGCCCAGGAGTTCGAGACCAGCCTTGGCAACATAGTGCAACCCCATCTCTACAAAAAATACAAAATTTAGATGGGCACCTGTAGTCCCAGCTACTTTGGAGGCTAAGGCAGAATTCCTTGAACCCAAGAAGTGGAGGTTGCAGGGAGCCGAGATCACGCCACTGCACTCCAGCCTGGGCAACAGAGTGAGACTCCCTCTCAAAAAAAAAAAAAAGACGGGCCGGGTGCGGTGGCTCAAGCCTGTAATCCCAGCACTTTGGGAGGCCGAGACGGGTGGATCACGAGGTCAGGAGATCGAGACCATCCTGGTGAACACAGTGAAACCCCGTCTCTACTAAAACTACAAAAAACTAGCCGGGCGAGGTGGCGGGCGCCTGTAGTCCCAGCTACTCGGGAGGCTGAGGCAGGAGAATGGTGTGAACCCAGGAGGCGGAGCTTGCAGTGAGCTGAGATCAGGCCACTGCACTCCAGCCTGGGCGACAGAGCGAGACTCCGTCTCAAAAAAAAAAAAAAAAGATGATAAAATAATTCTAGGGAACAATCTCATCAGTGAGTAATACCATCTTTCTTTTGAGACATGGTCTCACTCTGTTGCCCAGGCTAAAGTACAGTGCCATAATCACAGCTCATTGCAACCTCAACCTCCCAGGCTCAAAGAAATTCTCCCACCTCAGTCTCCTAAGTAGCTAGAATTACAGGCATGCTCTACCATGCCTGGCTAATTGTTGTATTTTTTAGAGAGATGGGGTTTTGCCATGTTGCCTAGGCTGGTCTTGAACTCCTGAGCTCAAGCAATCTGCCAGTCTCGGCCTCCCAAAGTGCTGGGATTACAAGTGTGAGTCACCACGACCTGCCAATAACATCTTGATTAAAAATATCAAAGTAGATATTTCAGCATACAAGACCACCGAAAGAAATGAGTTTATAAATTATATGAATTTACAATCCTATCTTTCTTTATCCCTGAATTCTTACGTCAGTCATGGGATGCCAGACCAACTGTAGATGCTAAAAAAAAAAAAAAAGTGTAACATCTTTGACCAGTTGCAGAGGAACCTCAGATCTGATCTCACATAATGTGCTTTAATGGATAAATCTGAGTTTGAAACCAGGAAGGAAACCTGGCTCTATTCAGAGCTCCAATATCAGATGAATAACCTTAATCTCAGTTATATCAATCATAAGAAGATAATAAACCCTGCAACAACAGGGAAGCCAAGAGAAAAAATTCAACTGGTTAATCAATCACACATAAGAAATATGGAACTGTGAGAAATGATCTAGGTTCTGTGGAAAAAGAGGATCAGTAATTTTTTTTGTTGTTGTTGTTTTTGAGCCAGAGTCTCCCTCTGTCACCCAGGCTGGAGTGCAGTGGCACGATCTCAGCTCACTGCAAACTCTGCCTCCTGGATTCAAGTGATTCTCCTGCCTCAGCCTCCCGAGTAGCTGGGATAACAGGCATGCACCACCACATCCAGCTAATTTTTGTATTTTTAGTGGAGACGGGGTTTCATCATATTGGTCAGGCTAGTCTCAAACTCCTGACTCCTGACCTCAGGTGATCCACCTACCTCGGCCTCCCAAAGTGCTAGGATTATAGGCCTGAGGCACTGCGCCCAGCCAGATCAGTAACATTCAAAGGTATTTATTGCTTCTCAAACTTCAGAAATGAAAAGGTATTCCATGAAATAGACACTCACGGGGGAGCAATGCCCATGGCATGGAGATTAGCCAGGCCCACCATGTTGGCATTGCCGATGAGTCCTGGCTTCAGTGCCAGCTGGGCTTGGATTCGAGCTTGTAGTTCAGCTGCTTTCCTTGCCTTCTCAATGGCATCATTCATGAAAGTGGCAGCCTGGGAGGGCTGAATAGTGTTGCCAATTGGAAGTCGCTCTGGTTGGGAAGAAGAAGGAGTCTTTGGCTGTGAGATAGAGTAAAAGAAATCAGAGGCATTAAGACAGGCAGACAAATACACGTATGCATACACACAGATACACACATACACATCATGGTAGACTGTAGTAGATGATTATGAAGTAAAACATGCAGTCACCTCTTCTGGTCTGTCATTTTGAGTGGATGGCAAGAAATTCTGTGCCAAAGACTATTGTCTTCAGAGTAATCTAGACACAATACCTGAGGTGTAGGGGGGCTAATGAAGCTCAACTGTTTTTTCCTCTCCTCAATTTGTCGTGTTGCTGCCTCCATCATCTGTTTGATCTGCTCTCCAGGAAAAAAATTGAAAAACTGTTAATTTCTCCTCTTTACTACTCCCATTCAGGTTTTTAAACCCACAAGGCTCTCAGGTCTAGACACTTAAAATTTTTTGAATATACCACATACTGTCTACCATAGTGCAAAAAATTTAGTCAAGATTAAAGTGTGCACTGGAATTTTTCAACCCAAGTTCCTAAGGCAAGATTGGCATATTAGGTAGCAATACAATGTGATGACTGAGACTCTGGAGTCAGAGAAACCTGAGTTTGAATCTTTTTTTTTTTTTTTGAGACGGAGTCTCGCTGTGTCGCCCAGGCTGGAGTGCAGTGGTGCGATCTCGGCTTACTGCAAGCTCCGCCTCCCAGGTTTACGCCATTCTCCTGCCTCAGCCTCCAAGTAGCTGGGACTACAGGCACCCGCCACCACGCCCGGCTAGTTTTTTGTATTTTTAGTAGAGACAGGGTTTCACCATGTTAGCCAGGATGGTCTCGATCTCCTGACCTCGTGATCCACCCACCTCGGCCTCCCAAAGTGCTGGGATTACAGGCTTGAGCCACCGCGCCCGGCCCGAGTTTGAATCTTAACTCTGACACTTAATGCCTTTGTTATCTTGGATAAGGAACTTAGTCTCTAAACCTCCTAAGCGTCTAAAAGGGAGGATAAAAACAGTACCTACCTTATAGGTCTATTGTAACCACTTAAATAATGCATGCAAACCTTACAGAACCTACACAAAATATTATGCTTAATTTTTTTTTTTTTTAATTTTTGAGACGGAGTCTCACTCTGTGGCCCAGGCTGGAGTGCAGTGGCGCAATCTTGGCTCACTGCAAGCTCTGCCTCCCGGGTTCACGCCATTCTCCTGCCTCAGCCTCCCAAGTAGATGGGACTACAGGCACCCACCACTACACTCGGCTAATTTTTTGTATTTTTAGTAGAGATGGGGTTTCACCCTGTTAGCCAGGATGGATTTTGTATTTTTAGTAGAGACAGGGTTTCACTCTGTTAGCCAGGATGGTCTCAATCTCCTTATCCGCCTGCCTTGGCCTCCCAAAGTATTGGGATGAAAGGCGTGAGCCACTGCTCCCAGCCTATACTTAATTTTTTTAAAAAAATCATGATATTAGTACTTGAACTACTAGTTTGAGAAACAAGAGACGATGGTGCAAAGACCTGCTCCCTAGTCTCTATAAACCCCTTCTGTCCTAAAGAAGTTCAGAATGATAAGCTTTGAGGGTATAGTCAAACAACTCCTCTTGCATTTTGCAAAAAGAGCTTCCAGATATTTTTAAAAATTTGTCTTTAACATTTTTTCTTGAATAGGTGATATTCAAAATTCAAAAATTACAGAAGGGTCAGGCATGGTGGCTCACGCCTGTAGCACTTTGAGAGGCTGAAGTGGGTGAATCACTTGAGGTCAGGAGCTGAAGACCAGCCTGGCTAATATGGTGAAACACCATCTCTAGTAAAAATACAAAAATTAGCCAGGTGTGGTGGTGGGCGCCTGTAATGCCAGCTACTCAGGAGGCTGAGGCAGGAGAATTGCTTGAACCCAGAAGGCGGAGGTTATTGTTAGCCAAGATCATGCCACTGCACTCCCGCCTGGGCAAGAGAGGGAGACTCCATCTCTAAATAAATAAATAAGAAAATAAAAAATTACAGTGCTGGGCGCAATGGCTCACGCCTGTAATCCTAGCACTTTGGGAGGTCGAGGTAGGTAGATCACGAGGTCAGTTGTTTGAGACCAGCCTGCCCAACATGGTGAAACTAAATTTAGTCTCTACTAAAAATACAAAATTAGCTGGGCATGGTGATGCACACCTGTAATCCCAGCTACTCAGGAGGCTGAGACAGGAGAACTGCTTGAATCCAAGAGGCGGAGGCTGCAGTGAGCTGAGATTGCACCACTGCACTCCAGCCTGGGCAACAGTGCAAGAGCGAGACTCCATCTCAAAAAATAAAATAAAATAAAATAAAATAATAAAATGAAAAATTACAGGCTGGGTCGGTGGCTCACGTCTGTAATACCAGCACTGTGGGAGGCCAAGGCAGGCGGATCGCGAGGTCAGGAGTTCAAGACCAGCCTGACCAACATGGTGAAACCCCGTCTCTACTAAAAATACAAAAAAATTAGCCAGGCGTGGTGGTGTGCGCCTGTAATCCCAGCTACCTGGGTGGCTGAGGCAGAAGAATAGCTTGAACCCCAAAGGCGGAGGTTGCAGTAAGCTGAGATCACGCCATTGCACTCCAGCCTGGGTGACAGAGCAAGACTCTGTCTCAAAAAAAAAAGAAAAATTGCAAAAGGATATATTGTGAATACATCCATCCCTATTCTCCATAAAAAACATCATCGGGCCAGGCACAGTGGCTCATGCCTGTAATCCCAGCACTTTGGGAGGCCGAGGCGGGGGGATCACAAGGTCAGGAGATCAAGACCATCCTAACATGGTGAAACCCTGTCTCTACTAAAAATACAAAAAATTAGTTGGGCGTGGTGGTACGTGCCTGTAGTCCCAGCTACTCAGAAGACTGAGGCAGGAGAATGGTGTGAACCCAGGAGGCAGAGGTTGCAGTGAGTTGAGATCGCGCCACCATACTCCAGCCTAAGTGACAGAGCGAGACTCCATCTCAAAAAGAAAAGAAAAGAAAAGAATCAGCTGGGCGTGGTAGTTCACTCCTGTAAGTCCAGCACTTTGGGAGGCTGAGGCAGGAGGATCGTTTCAGCCCAGGAGTTCAAGACCAGCCTGGGCAACGTGGCAAAACTCCATCTTTACAAAAAATACAAAAATCAGCCAGGCATGGTGGCCTGTAGTCCCAGCTACTTGGGAAGCCAAGGTGGGAGGATCACTCAAGCCCGGGAGGCAGAGGTTGCAGTAAGCCAAGATCTCGCCACTGAACTCCAGGCTAGAGGACAGAGTGAGACCTTGCCTGAAAAACAAAAACAGGCTAGACATGGTGGCTCACGCCTGTAATCCCAGCACTTTGGGAGGCAGATCACTTGAGGTCAGGAGTTCCAGACCAGTCTGGTTAATATGGTGAAACCCCATCTCTACTAAAAATACAAAATTAGCCATGCATGGTGGCACATGCCTATAGTCCCAGCTACTTGGGGGGCTGAGATAGGAGAATCACTTGAACCTGGGAGGCGGAGGCTGCAGTGAACCGAGATCGCACCAGCGTGCTCCAGCCTGAGTGACAGAGAGAGACATCTCCAAAAAAAAAAAAAAACACCCATTTCTTTCCTTCTGTAAATATCTCATATATGCAAATCCACCCATCTATATTTCTGTGTATGTTCTATTACCCCCTCAAATATTAAATGGTAAACACTTATTGTTCATGTGGTATCAAAATTATTTAACACTACCAATTGAAAAAACACAAATACTTCCTGTTAAAAAAAAATACAAAGTCAACTTAAAATTATTTATTAGTGGATTATATCTTCTTTGCATTATGTTTGGAAATTCTCCTCTGTCATCAAGATGAGTTCTGATCATTTCATTTAATTTTCTCAATGACTCAGTGACGTAGGTAATTAGGCAAATAATGTACATAACACACCTTGCTGGCCACAGTAAATGGCAATTTCAATACCCTTACCTGGAATACTCCTGGTCAAATAAAAGAATGCTAAAACATAAAGCAAGAAATAAAATTTTCCCAAATGCTGGCCTGGCGCAGTGGCTCACACCTGTAATCCCAGCCGTTTGGGTGGCTAAGGTGGCAGATCACTTGAGGCCAGGAGTTCCAGACCAGCCTGGCCAACATGGCAAAACACTGCTTCTACTAAAAATACAAAAATTAGCCAGGCGTAGTGGTGTGTGCACGTAGTCCCAGCTACTCCGGAGGCTGAGGCAGGAGAATCACTTAAACCTGGGAGGTGGAGGTTGCCGTGAGCTGAGATCACACCACTACACTCCAGCATGGGCAACAGAGTGAAACTCCATCTTAAAAAAAAAAAAAAAAATTCCCCAAATGCTAAACACTAATTTAAATCAAGATCACAATAAGGTGAGGCACGCTGGCTCCCGCCTGTAATCCCAGCACCTGGGAGGCCGAGGTGGGCAGATGACCTAAGGTCAGAAGTTCGAAACCAGCCTACCCAACATGGTGAAACCCCGTCTCTACTAAAAGAAATACAAAAAATAAGTCAGGCACGGTGGCTCACTCCTGTAAACCTAGCACTTTGAGAGGCCGAGGTGAGCGCATCACCTGAGATCATGAGTTCAAGACCAGCCTGGCCAAGATGGTGAAACCCCGTCTCTACTAAAAATACAAAAATTAGCCGGGCTTGGTGGCGGGTACCTGTAATCCCAGCTACTTGGGAAGCTGAGACAGGACAATCGCTTAAACCCGGGAGGCAGAGGTTGCAGTGAGCTGAGATCGCACCACTGCACTCCAGCCCGGGTGATAACAGCAAAACTCCATCTCGAAAAAAAAAAAAAAAAAAATCACAATAAATACAGACCCATGCACCTTTTGCTTCTTCAACTCACAAAACCACTTTGCTTCCAGTCCCTAATTACTAACCTGGAGCTTAGTCAGCATGCCAGGGCTCTCTGATGGAGGCCCAGGGATCACCTCTGGCTCTTCTTCCACCTCCTCAAAACGGGGTATTCGTCGCTTCTTTACTCCTGATGATTCTTTAGAGATCTCAGAGTCATCACCAAACACCTCCTGAGGGAACCCAAGATGAAAGAAAAGCTGTATCCTTCCCCGTGGGGAGAAGAGAAGAATTATCCTAGCCCCTACCAGCAGTTTCTGGCTATTCCCAGGGGAATATGATATAACCTTGCAAATAGCCACCTGCCAGAAGCAGGGTCTACTAGACTCTCCATCAAGTGGACCATCTCACCCAACTTCAACATTCTCCTAATCCAGTCAAACAAATTTCATTCCTATGTTCTTATAAATGTTCCCATCTTAAGGTCTTTGCAAATGCTACTGCCCACATTTATGATTTCTCTCAACTTTTCCACAACCCCTGTTCCAAATCCTGCCTAAAACTCACCTCCTCCAAGAAGTTTTCCTCATTACAACCTTATCCCACTCTGATTAAACTTTTTGTTTCACATTCTCTTATCATGTAAGAGCTTGGTTCATATTAGGTTAAATTACACTGTTGATATTCTGTTTGCCAAGTGTTAAGTATTTCAATGTTAGTATAATTTTCCCAACTAAGTCTAAGCTCTTCCAGGACACGGGCTTTCTCTTTCTTCTTCAGTAATCCCCATTAACACTTTGTTTTCATCAAACAATGGAAACTCAAATATGATGACTAATTTGCAAGGTGAATTTAACAGGACCGAGAGTGGCCAACTGGAAGGGACAATGGGAAAAAGCAAATGTACACACCGGTGGTAGGCTTTGGGTGACATCCCCTCTTCACTAGGAGGGCTCGTGTTTTGCAAGGACATATCCTCGGCCAGGGGCGAGCGCTTCCTGGAACTCCTACAGTTCAAGAAAAAGGACTCTCCCATAATATATTGTGTGGGGTGGGGACTTGAATGGACCAAAAATGGGACCCGTATCCCAAAGCTATCTAGACACCTCCTTCAAGAAGCCATTTTTATTAATCCCACCCAATGTAGTCACTTCATTCACAGCATGCCCTCAGCACTCATACAGAAGTATGCCCTACTGGTCAGATGCAGAGGCTCATGTCTGTAATTGTAGCACTTTGGGAGGCCGAGGCGGGCGGATCATGAGGTCAGGAGTTCGAGGTCAACCTGATCAACATGGTGAAACCCCGTCTCTACTAAAAATACAAAAATTAACCGGGCATGGTGGCATGTGCCTGTAATCCCAGCTACTCAGGAGGCTGAGGCAGGAGAATCACTTGAACCTGGAAGGTGGAGGTTGCAGTGAGCCGAGATTGTGCTACCGCACTCCAGCCTGGGCAACAGAGTGAGACTCAGCCTCAAAAAAAAAAAAAAAAAAAAAAAAAAAGCAAAGCAGTATGCCCTATCGTGACATAATCTTCACTGTACAGATCTGTGTATACTGTGGCTCAATCATTCCCCCTTAAATATAACAAAATTCAACATAAGTCTGAAATTCTATAGCCAACCCTAAAATTTACATGAAACTGCTACTTAGATTTTATAATACGTAAATATATATTTTGTGATACTCCTGCCTCTTCTAAATTGCAACTCCTCGGCTCAAGAGATCCTCTTGCCTCAGCTTTCCAAGTAGCTGGGATTACAGGCACATGCCATAGTGCCTGGCAAATTACAAACTGTTTTAAGGCCAGCACTATCTCTCCTTCTCTGATCACCCTACAATGCTCTAAACACAAAGGGCACAAATCTCTCTGTTTTTTTTTTAGTTCCATAGCCTGGCCAGGGAACCAAGCAGACATTATATTCACTCTTTTCCCTCAGGAAAAGCAATGGGATAGCCAAGGTATCAAAAGAACTTCGGAAGGTTTGATAGGAGTCGCAGAATTTTTTTTTTCTAAAGAGAGATACTGGGAAATGAGTAGAAAGACAGACTACTTGATACTGCTAATACTGAAAAAGGCCAGGATCAGTCAGCAACTACAGAATAAAAAGTGTAGTAGTTAAGGGGGTACTGACAACTCCTCCAAGTGTTTCACTTCTGGCACCAGAGGACCAGCAATATGCCATAGAGCAAATGGTAAGCTCTCAAGAATATAATAAATAATAGTTACTTTTTTGGTATCCTATCTACAAGTGCATTGCAGAGAAACCTCTACAAAGAGGCAACAAGGAGGTCTACAGCTCAGGTACCAGTGGAGTCACATTCTAAAACAACTTATTAGGCCTCAAATAAATCAAACATAAAATCTTAGAGCAATCAGTTTATAGGTAAGAAGGAAAAAAAGGAAATATGGAGAAACATGAGAACCAAAACTCCTGTTATTTAAAAAAAGACAAAGCTACCAATTATTTATTTGGATATTTAAACCCATGAACTTAGGTAGTTCAGATGGTGATGACACAAATTCACCTCTCCTACTTTAATGTCTAAGTACCTCTCTTGAACATTTGCTGCTCTAAATAGAGGATATCAACGTGTGAACTGGTAAGCTCAGCAACTCTGTTACCATTCAAAACAGTCCTGAGCTCATTAGACAGTAAATTGTAACCTACCTTTAGCTCTCGTTTTCTGCTCCTGTCACTGCTAGACTTGGAATGCCTAGAGCTTCGGCCTTCCTCCACAGCCTCAAAGAGTTTGTCCACAAATCGGAGAGTAGAATCATCAAGAAAAGGTTTCAGATGATCTGACAGGAAGAAAGGCAGTGGTAGGATTGGAAAGGTAAGACTACATAGTCTAATACTAGGCCTATAACAGGTACCAACACTGGAATTTTATTCCCAGGAGTGAAACAAATTTTAAGTTTTTTTCTACGATTCCCATCTCTCTTACATTGAATGACCTTGCCCTATGAGGTGAAAATAGTTTTAATTTTTTGGAGTGGGAAGTCGTACAGTCAGAGCAACCTGTTTACGTTGAACATCAAGTTTAAGATGAATAACCACCCTAACCTTTCCCAAATAGCAAGTTGCAGGAGACTACCATTAACAAAATCTACCTCCTTCAAGCTTTTTTATGTATTTCATAAAGACTTTTATATGTTGAGATGTCAATCTGAATCTGAATATGCCTATCTGACTTAAGCATACTTCCTAAGTAAATCTAACTTAGGTGACTCGGTATGGTAGCCAAAGATTTAAAATCTATCATAAATAACATAAAAAATAAACAATAAGAGAAAAAGCAAATTATGATTTAGCCTATTTTCATTATAATACAGATGAAAACAAAATATGGCCTGCCCTTTTTTTAGATGTTCCCAACAGAGAGAATTTTAGGGAAGTTCAGTGTTTGGGGTCACCCTATATGTTAAGACAAAAGCTGCAGAAAGGTACATACCGGCTGCCTTCTTCTTGTCCATGCCCTTCCCCACACAGTTCAATGCTGCTGTGACCACTGTAGGCTCTGAGAAACCCAGGACCCTCTTCACTGTCTTCTCTATCCATGGTTTCAGCTCATCCAGCTCCCTCTTAGACAGTGCCATTTTGCAGGAAAAAGAGAACAATAGCTCAAACTGGACTCAATACTACACCTAAAAACAAAAAGAGACAAGTTAGAGAATAAGAAAAAACTAAAGTGGGTTGGGTGCAGTGGCTCATGCCTGTAATCCCAGCACTTTGAGAGGCCAAGGTGGGTGGACTGCTTGAGGTCAGGAGTCAGAGACCAGTCTGGCCAACAGAGTGAAATCCTGTCTCTACTAAAAATACAAAAAAATTAGCTGGGCGTGGTAGCATGAGCCTGTAATCCCAGCTACTCCGGAGGCTTAGGCAGGGGAATAACCAGGGAGGTGGAGCTTGCAATGAGCCAAAATCACACCACTGCACTCCAGCCTGGGTGACAGTGAGACTCTGGCTCAAAAAAAAAAAAAAAAAAAGAAGACTAAAGTGATCCAGGGAAATGGTTAGTGCATCAGGAATGCATTCCCCACCCCTATTCTCAATCCCTAGACAAGTTCTTCCAACTCATTTGAAGGCAAGTATTTTCCCCAAGAACCTTATCTCAAAGCAGAAAGAGATCCCATTTGATTTTTAACTCTTAAGTTGATCAATGAAATCTGTGGAATAAATAAACTCTGTGAATAAGCTACGTCTGAGAGATTAATTCTAGCTTCTTTCTTGATCCTGTCATATCAACAAGGACTTGCAAACCTAGCAACACTAGAACAAAACTAAAAAAGCCCATCCAGAGGCCAGCTTCTCCATTCTTCCTACTTCCAGGCAGGCATTCCCTAATCCAACCCTGACTTATGTAGGATTCCCTTCTTTTAAGTTATGCAAGTAAAACAGGTTTATCCAGGTCAGTCATCCTGGATATTAAATTAAATTTCATGATCCTTAAGAATGTTCTCTCACATTTTTCTGTGGTCATATTCATCCCAGTGGGAATTCTGCATACAGATAATTATCATGTTCAATCTACAGGGTCTCCATCAGCTGACTTGATGATCCTTCAGCTCAGAAAAGAATACGCTCATTTTTCTTTTGAGACAGAGTCTCACTCTGTCGCCAAGGCTGGAGTGCAGTGGCGTAACCTTGGTTCACTGCAACCTCCATCTCCTGAGTTCAAGCAATTCTCCTGCCTCAGCCTCCCAAGTAGCTGGGACTACAGGCATGCACCACCACGCCTGGCCAATTTTGCAGTTTTAGTAAAGACACGGTTTCACCGTATCAGCCAGGTAACTCCTTACCTAAAGTGATCTGCGCACCTTGGCCTCCCAAAGTGCTGGGATTACAGGCATGACCCACTGCACCCGTCTCTACTAAAAATACAAAAATTAGACGGGCGAGGTGGTGGGCACCTGTAATCCCAGCTACTCATGAGGCAGAGGCAGAAAAATCGCTTGAACCTAGGAGGCGGAGGTTGCGGTGAGCCAAAATCACACCACTGCATTCCAGCCTGGGCGACAGAGTTAAACTGTATCGCCAAAAAAAAAAAAAAAAGAAAGCCAGGTGCAGTGGCTCACGCCTGTAATCCCAGCACTTTGGGAGGCTGAGGCGGGTGGATTACCTGACGTCAGGAGTTCGAGACCAGCCTGGCCAACATGGTGAAACCCCATCTCTATTAAAAACACAAGTATTAGCTGGGCGTGGTGACCTGCACCTGTAATCCCAGCTACTCCGGAGGCTGAGACAGGAGAATCCCTTGAACCTGGAAGGCGGAGGTTGCAGTGAGCCGAGATCGCGCCACTGCACTCCAGCCTGGGCGACAGAGCAAGACTCCGCCTCGGGGGAAAAAAAAGTGCCTAAATGAGAGTCAATAAATTGCACTGACCTCAATTTCTAAGCTCAGCTATTCCCAGCAGTGCCACTTATCAGAGATCTGGGAATCAGTTTTTCAAGATGTTTTAAGACATCTTTTCTCCAAAAAAATCCAGTCTGATTAACTTCTACATTCTTGGTAGGTTTAGCTTCTATACTAGAGTCTACAAGACTTGCTGCTGGCCAGGCATGGTGGCTCACGCCTGTAATCCCAGCACTTCGGGAGGCCGAGGTGGGCGGATCACAAGGTCAGGAGATCGAGACCATCCTGGCTAACATGGTGAAACCATGTCTCTACTAAAAATACAAAAAATTAGCCAGGCGTGGTGGTAGGCGCCTGTAGTTCCAGCTACTCGGGAGGCTGAGGCAGGAGAATGGAGTGAACCTGGGAGGTGGAGCTTGCAGTGAGCCAAGATCACGCCACTGTACTCCAGCCTGGGCGACAGAGCCAAACTCCGTCTCAAAAAAAAAAAAAAAAAAAAAAAAAGACTTGCTGCCAAATAGTAGACTCACTTTTGGTATATCCAAAGGAAGCTAGCAGACTGAAGTGATGAAACTAAGACTGAAAGATTTTCTGCCTCAGTGACAAGTTACGTGAGTAATTCTATGGTGACTCTATTACCCCATAATGAGTAGACATACAGCCTACCAATTTCTACATATTACACACGTATTGCACAAAAGCAGCATATCCAGACGACTTAGAAAGTGAAAACAAGAGTTCACACAGAACAGTTAGGACACTGAGTTCCACCATTTACAGGCCCTTAGGCAAGTTAATTAATTATTTGGAGCCACAGTTTACTCATCTTACAAAATGAGGACTGCCATATTTACATCTTAATTCATTCAATAAATATTTATTAACTACCAAGTGTCAAGCAATGTACTAAGTGCAGTGGATACACAAAACAGTGAGCAAAACTAACAAGAGTCCTCACCTTAACGGGTCTCATATTCCACTAGAATTGAATGATAGGCTACAAAGTATAAGCAATTTGAAAGCCCAAAGCAATAAATGAGGTGCCACTGTTACTTCCATAAGATGATGTGCAAACTAAACAGCCATGGACAGAAAAGTTTCAAACGGTAATTAGCTTTGTCACTAATCAAATGCTCAACAATAACTGTGAGGTGCAGGGGGAATGGGGGTGCGGAAGGAGAGCGAGGTACAATGATCTCTCAATGAGCAGGCAGCAGAATCCAAATCCAGTCTTCTGAAGGAATTCCTTACTCCGTGCTCTTGTTTGCTAGAACCTGAGTTTCCCTCTGCAGCCCCAAATCTTCTGTTTTTACTCTCCGTCACTCCAACCAGTCTCTTACTCTACCTTGTTCTACCCAAACTCTTCACCTCAGAGCTGGTCTCCCCACCCGGTCTGCTTCCCGCCCCCGCCCTTTTCCTCTCAACAATCTCATTCCAATCTCTTCTTCCACCAAACCAGGTACTCCTTTCACACTCCTTCCCGCTGAACCCTCCCGCTTCGATCCTCCCCTTGGACTAAGCCCCCGGCCACAGTCGCGCGGACTGGAGTTACCCTCTCTGGGCCCGGGGCCACTACTCACCTCACAAACTTCAGCCCCTGAGACGGAGCCCGAACGTTACACCGGAACCGGAAACCTTCTGACCGCCCTACGGCCTGCCGTCGCTACCGCCACGGCCGCCGCCACGCCGCTGTCTCCCAACACGTGACCAAGGAGGGCTGGGCCGGCAATTCGCGCAGCCGTATTTGCCACTTTCTTGGAGGCTGAACGCATGCGTCGTAGAACCGAAAAGTTTCCCTGAGCAAGTTTCTTGCTTTCTATTTCCCGGGCTAAACCTATTAACTAGATTTCTGCCAAGTTAATGTTTTTAACTTCCTGAAGCGGAAATTGGGCTACTTGCAGTTTTCTTCATATGGAGAATAAGTGCGCAAAGGTAAACTTCGGATAGAATGAAGAGCGAGGCTTCTGCGTTTGTGTTCAAACACAGTCTTTCTGGTGGAAAGTAAACCCTTTCACAGTCGTGATCACTAGAATTAGCCACCCATCCTTAACCTTTCTCCCTAATTTAACAGTGGTGTCAGGCCGGGCGCCGTGGCTCACGCCTGTAATCCCAGCACTTTGGGCTCAATAAATGACAAGTGAGACCTACCAGTATTGCTTTCTCCATTCTATCAATAGGTCTATATATTTCCTTTTCTCCAAAATGAGGCTCTAACCTACTGACCCTTCCTTTTTTTATTTTTTATTTTTTTATTTTTTGAGACGGAGCCTCACTCTGTCGTCAGGCTGGAGTGCACTGGCGCTATCCCGGCTCACTAAAACTTCCGCCTCCCAAGTAGGTGGGACTACAGGCGCGCACCACCACGCCCAGCTAGCTTTTGTATTTTTAGTAGAGACGAGGTTTCACCATGTTGGCCAGGATGGTCTCGATTTTTTGACCTCGTGATCCGCCCACCTCGGCCTCCCAAAGTGCTGGGATTTCAGGCTTGAACCAGCACGCCTGGCCCCTACTGACCCTTTAAATCATAACAACGTGTGTGGGCAAAGATAGTTTGGAAAAAGGATGTCCAGTATTATGACACAATTTCTTTATGTGAGAAATGGAAAAAATTCCATTATTTTTATATTATAAACTATCCAAACTAAAATTCCAAAATGTCTTCTTGGTGGTAGGCTCACTAGAAGATGCAGTTGTTCTTCAGGGAGGTTATTCAAATTCCCCAGATAGTAGGAGATTTTTGTATCTAAAGATACAATGTACATACCAAGCCCCACCATCCCTGATGGGGCAGCATGACCTAAAAGGATAAAGCCTGGCTCTGAAGGAACCAGTTGGGGGAGCTTCAACTTGCTGCTCAACTTATTCACAAATCAGTTTCTCCACTTACAGCTTCTAACACCAATGTCTCACAAAATATTCACTCAAAAAAGTTTGTTGAATGGGTTAATGAGTTTCAACGTTGCAGGGTTGTTGTAAATTTATTTTGTTTTAGTGCTTCTAACAGTCTGAGTTCAATTCCCTATGGAGAAATGTGTTTCTAGAAACTGATTTTAGGCCAGGTGTGGTGGCTTACGCCTGTAATCCCAACACTTTGGGAGGTCGAGGCAGGTGGATCACTTGAGGTGAGACCAGTCTGCCCAACATGGTGAAAATCTATCTCTCCTAAAAAAATGCAAAAATTAGCTGGGAGTGGCAGTGGGCACCTGTAATCCCAGCTACTCAGGAGGCCTAGGCAAGAGAGTTGCTTGAACTCTGGAGGTGGAGGTTGCAGTGAGCCAAGATCACAACACTGCACTGCAGCCTGGGCAACAGAGGGAGACTCCGTTTCAACAAAACAAAACTGATTTTATTTCCAATTTTTAGAATTGGATACATTTAAACTGTAGCCTTCCAGTTACTAGCTGTGTTTCCTTCATGTAATTTTTTCTGAGATTGTTTCCTCAATTATAGAATAAGAATCTCTACTTCAAAAAGGTATCGTGAGGATTAAATGTAATGTGTAAGACACAGTTAGTGTGGTACTGGCATAAGAACAGGCACATAAACCAACCAAAGAGAATGGGGGGCTGGGCGGAGTGGCTCAAGCCTGTAATCCCAGCATTTCGGGAGGCCGAGGCGGGTGGATCACAAGGCCAAGAGATCGAGACCATGCTGGCCAACATGGTGAAACCCCGTCTCTCCTAAAAATACAAAAATTAGCCGGGCGTGGTGGCAGGTGCCTGTAGTCCCAGCTCCTGGGGAGGCTGAGGCAGAAGAATCGCTTGAACGCAGGAGGTGGAGGTTGCAGCGAGCCAAGATTGCACCACTGCATTCCAGTCTGGCGACAGAGCGAGACTCCGTCTCAAAAAAAAAAAAAGGAGAATAGAGAGCCCAGAATAAACACTCACATATGTGGTCAGCTGATTTTTTTTTTTTTCTTTTCTTGAAATGGCGTTTCGCTCTTGTTGGCCAGGCTGGAGTACAATGGCGCAATCTTGGCTCACCGCAACCTCCGCCTCCCAGGTTCAAGCAATTCTCCTGCCTCAGCCTCTGGAGTAGCTGAGATTACAGGCAAGCGCCATCAAGCCAGGCTCGTTTTGTATTTTCTTCTTCTTCTTCTTCTTCTTCTTTTTGAGACGGAGTCTTGCTCTGTCGCCCAGGCTGGATTGCAATGGCACAATCTCAATTCCCTGTAATCTCCACCTCCTGGGTTCAAGCGATTCTCCTGCCTCAGCCTCCCGAGTAGCTGTAACTACAGGCGCGCGCCACCACACTGGGCTAATTTCTTGTAGTTTTAGTAGAGATGGGGTTTCACCGTGTTAGCCAGGATGGTCTCGATCTCCTGACCTCGTGATCTGCCCGCCTCGGCCTCCCAAAGCGCTGGGATTACACGCGTGAGCCACCGCGCCTGGCCTCATTTTGTATTTTTAGTAGAGATGGGGTTTCACCATGTTGGTCAGGCTGGTCTGGAACTCTCGACCTCAGGTGATCCACCTGCCTCAGCCTCCCAAAGTGCTGGGATTACAGGCATGAGCCACTGTGCCCGGCCCTTTTTTTTTTTTTTTTTCCCAAACGGAGTCTCCCTCTGTTGCCCAGGCTGGAGTGCAGTGGCACAATCTTGGCTCACTGCAACCTCTGCCTCCTGGGTTCAGCCAATTCTCCTGCCTCAGCTGGAACTACAGGCACATGGCACCACACCCGGCTAATTTTTTTTTTTTTTTTTTTTTGCATTTTTATTAGGGGTTTCACCATATTGTCCAGGCTGGTCTTGAACTCCTGACATCGTGATCTGCCCGCCTCAGCCTCCCAAAGTGCTGGGATTACAGGCATGAGCCCCTGCGACTGGCCATGGTCAGCTGATTTTTGACAAAGGTGCCAAGACTATTCAATGGGAAAAGGACAGTCTGTTTAACAAATGATGCTGGGAAAAGCAGATATCCATATACATAAGAGTTAAGTTGGACCCCCTACCTCATACCATATACAAAAATGAATTCAAAATGGATCTAAGACCTGAATATAAGAAATATACAGCCGGGTGCAGTGGCTCACGCCTGTGATTCTAGCACTTTGGGAGGCCGAGGCGGGCGGATCACAAGGTCAGGAGATCGAGACCATCCTGGCTAACATGGTGAAACCCTGTCTGTACTAAAAATACAAAAAATTAGCCAGGCGCGGTGGTGGGTGCCTGTAGTCCCAGCTACTCAGGAGGCTGAGGCAGGAGAATGGTGTGAACCCGGGAGGTGGAGCTTGCAGTGAGCCGAGATCATGCCACTGTACTCCAGCCTGGGCGACAGAGCAAGACTCCGTCTCAAAAAAAAAAAAAAAAAAAAAAAAGAAATATACAAAAACTAGGGGTTAGGCACAGTGGCTCACCCCTATAATTTCAGCATTTTGGGAGACTGAGGCTGGAAGATGACTTGAGGTCAGGTCAGGAGTTTAAGACCAGCCTGGTCAATATGATGAATCAATTCCCGTCTCTACTGAAAACAGAAAAATTCACCAGGTGTGGTGGCACACTCATGTAGTCCCAACAACTTGGGAAGCTGAGGCAGGAGAATCACTTGAACTCAGGAGGCAGAGGTTGCAGTGAGCTGGGATCACGCAACTGCACTCCAGCCTGGATGACAGAGGGAGACCCTGTCTCAAATAAATAAATGCATACATAAAAGTAGGGCTAGGTGCAGTGGCTCACATCAATAATCCCATGCGACTGCACTCCAGCCTGGATGACAGAGGGAGATTTTATCTCAAATAAATAAATAAATAAATGTAGGGGTGGGTGCAGTGGCTCGCATCTGTAACCCAGCACTTTGGGAGGCTGAGGCAGATAGATCACTTGGGGCCAGGAGCTCTAGACCGGCCTGCCCAACATGGTGAAATCCCATCTCTACTAAAAATACAAAAATTAGTTGGGCATGGTGGTGCATGCCTGTAATCCCAGCTACTCAGGAGGCTGAGGCACTAGAATCTCTTGAACCTGGGAGGCAGAGGTTGCAGTGACTCAAGATCGTCCCATTGCACTCCAGTCTGGGCCACAGAGTGAGATTCTTTTTTTTTTTTGGAGACACAGTATCGCTGTATGCCCCAGGCTGGAATACACTGGTGCGATCTTGGCTCACTGCAACCTCTGCCTCCCAGTTTCAAGCAATTCTCATGCCTCAGCCTCCCGAGTAGCTGGAATTACAGGCGCCTGCCATCATGCCCGGCTAATTTGTGTATTTTTAGTAGAGACGGGTTTCGCCATGTTGGTCAGGCTGGTCTGCAACTCCTGGCCTCAAGGGATCCGCCTGCCTTGGCCTCCCAAACTGCTGGGATTACAGATGTGAGCCACTGCGCCCGGCCTAGGGTGAGACTCTTGTCTCAAAAAACACCTAAAACTAAAGAGCAATAACTGTTAAACTCTTAGAGGAAAATACAGGAGAACAAGAGAGTATCTTTATGACATTGGATTTGGTGATAATTTCTTGGATGTGATGCCAAACATGCAGTCAAACAAAGGAAAAACAGATGAATTGGACTTCATCAAAATTTAAAGTTTTGTGCATTAAATGACACTATCAACAGAATGAAAAGGCAGCCCACAGAATGTGAGAGAATATTT